AGGGATGATGGAAGCTGTGGTCTAGCCCTTCTGGCCCACCACACAAGGTTGGGGAAAGGAAAAGTGAGTTCTGGGACAAAGGGCATCTTGGCTGGGTAGTTCCCCATGGCTTTTGAAGAACAAGATTGGGGGAGGGGGAGGGGAGGGGCATTTGGGGAGGGGAGTTGACTGTCCAGACCAGCTTATAGTTGCCAAGGTTGAGGAAGTCTAGATTTCCATAGACAAAGGGGGGTGAAAGAAAGAAATGGGTAGGTCAAAGGGGGGGGGGAAGACAGCTTAAATGAATCAAGGGAGCCCAGCATCTCTGGCTAAGATGTGGCCGTCTTGCCTTGCTCCCCGAGTGCATTAAGGCAAATGGAGGAGGGTGTGAGATTTACCCCTGAAGCTTTCTTTAAAATCCCCCCCCCCCACATCATCTTAAAAGCCATTTGCTTTTGGCAGCTTCCCAGAAATCGTTGCCTTTGTACGGTCTGTGGAGAGATGAAAGGAGTGGGATGGCCGAGGGGGGTGGGTGGGAAAGTGATGCAACTCCCTCCTAGCTGCCTCCCACCACAGAGGGCCCAATCCACCGAGAAGTTGGTCCAGCTGGAACCGCTGGAATTCGCTTGGACTCTCCCACCAGCATCCCATGGCAAGACGAATAGTTGAACACAGGGTTCCCTAACCTTTTCGCCCAAGCTTGTAGATCTATGGCTAGATAGGTTATGTTGGTGGTGGTCCTGGAGAAATGGGACCTCCCTATACAGAGGCAGTCTACCATGATGCCGGGGAGCAGACCAGAGAACGGTATCCTTCCTGGTCCTGCAGGTCGGCTTCTGTTGGAAACAGGATGTGGGCCTTATTTCGTCTAGCTTAACTGGCCCCATGACCGTCTGGACTCAACGCCCCAAATTTGGGTTGTGTGATCTGTCTGAAGGAGTGATTGCAGGGTGTCTGACATTTCAACGCCGAGCCGGTTGTTAAGTCAGCCCCCGCCTGTTGTGATGCCAGGATACGGAAAGACAGAAGGCGTTGGCGCCCTTTCCACGGCTCAATTCGGCCTGCGGTTTTTGGTCTCCTCGGTGGTTGTGTTAGAAATCCGCAGGGGCCTCTGC